AAAAATTTATCTAGTGGAAATTTTTTTACATTTTAAAACAGCATTTTCCTAAATAGTTCAAGTTCTACTAGGTAGTTTTTTTTTTATCACGTATACAGGAAGAGAATGTGATGACGTTTAAGAAATTTGAAAAAAAAAACTAGGTCACCGACTTGGTTTTTGAGATATCTTTCAAAAACTGAGTTTTAGAGGGTCTTTTAGCACTACTGTACTGTTGCCATGCCAACAGATAATGCCTGACGAACCCCTTAAAAGATTGCCCTAACATAGTGTTATGCATATGTTGAGCTATTATCCTGATGATAAGTTTGACAGTCCTGATATCTTTTACTGATTGGCGCTTGCTGTTACTTGTTGAAAACCCTTTCGAGCCTCCTTAACACGCAGGAATGCGTATTATTAACCTCCTCCCAAAGTCTCGTTCTCAAGTTTTGTCTGAGTTGTTGTTTCTTCGCGCCATTTCTTAAGTGGCGGGAACTTTGGCGGTTTTTCATTGGTTAACGAAATAGACCCGTCACTCTCATTGGATGAAAGTGACATACGGAAGCAACATCGTGTTCATACAGGTTCAGTTGTGAATGAGGAATCATGGCGGAAAACGAAGTAGTAGTATCGCTGTTGTCGCAAGAAATGGCAGCTTTTACTGGTGAAGAGGTCGCAAACGTTTTAGAAAAAAGGAATCTACCCCTCAGGAACAATGTCGTGTTCTCGAAGGTAAGTTCCATTTTTGTTCACGCTCTGTTTGTATAGACTTGAATACTCACACAACTGTAATTCCTTTTCGACAACAAAGATCTGGCTTGGCTATCGATGGAAGGAAACAAACGTAAACAAAACGAAGCGAAACGAAAATACAACAGCGACAAATTAACACACACTTACAAGATTTGCAGATTTGGTGAACTTTTACCTATCGCAACAAGAGCACATGGCCCATCCCATAATATTACAAATGTATGAATGACGTAATTTCACCAGTCCCGCGCGGACTGAGTACGGGAAAACGAAATAAACATTTAAAGAACGTTTTGTAACTTACAGTTTGTAACGGCGAAATTTCCGCTTAAATTTCTCCCGGCCTGTATGGTAAAGTTGAGGGTGTAAACCCAAATTATAATTAAGTTTCTCCCTGACTATTCATCGCTTTCTATCTGGAAAATATTCGCATATAGATGCATTAAATTCTTAAATGTATAGGATGCTGTGCCCTTAGAAGAACCATGGGGAGCTCATGCAAAGTCTTCCAACCATTAAATCAGCTGGGTGCCTGACCCTTCAGCAAGAGCACCATGTATTTCCATGAACATCTGTATCATAAGATACAGTTAGCCTATAATAATTATTATAGCTGTAATTGAGATCTGCATCCATGTTTGTGAGTTAACATGCTTGCAATTAAGGAAAGTCATTTTCATCCAGCTGGCTTACATGTAAATATGTATTTAGGTCAAGGAGGAAAATATAATATATGTACATCCTTACAGTTAATTTTTCTTCCTTTTCATAGCCTTCTTTGTCTCATAAAGGAAACTCCACCAAATCTCTCTCATCGTGATCCTTATCTTATGGTCCATTCAGGAGACGCTGGTGACAGTCATGAGGCCTACACTATCATGGTTGGAGATCAAAAGTACTGTGACATATCTGAAGGTGAAGATTCACTTGGACGTGCCTTAGTTCAGCTATTGGCATTTTTTTATGTCTATCACTTGGAGTAGCCCCAGCCATTGCATAATACTTCTTTTTACAACGGTTTGTACTAGGAGATCATAATGTGTCATCAACACCTATCATGAAGCTATTCAAAAGTACTTGGTTTACTGTCAAGTCTCTGTAAGTTTACACGAGTGATGTATTGAGTTACATTTTTTGGAAAGTAGTATTAAAATGAGTTTAATCAATGTGTTTCAGGGTCAATTTCTTGTTACAGGGAAATGTTTTGTTACACAAAGAGATGTAACCCTTTGTGGAAGAGAATTTTGACCCTTGATGTAGTGTAGTCTTTTCCCTTATTTTTGGTCCATTTCCCCAAGGTTGGTATTGGATCTCCTTAACAAGTTTTCTTCTACCCTTAACTAAGTGTGTCCAAATTTTTGGAAGAGAATTTGACCCTTGATGTGGTGTAGTCTTTTCCCTAATTATAGGTCCATTTCCCTAAGGTTTGTATTGGATCTCTTTAATAAGTTTTCTTCTACCCTTAATTAAGTGTTCTGTGATTTTTATTAAGTGCAGTCTTACAACTATTTTAAGTTTACAAACACCTAACTTAAGAGATGTGACTCTTGAAAAGTATTAAAGTGTTGTTTTCGAGCGATTTTGGGGATGTATCTAAAACGAAGACCCAAAAACGAAGACCAAAATAAGACCCTGTGGTCTAAAACGAAGACCCACTGGTCTAAAACGAAGACCCACTGGTCTAAAACGAAGACCCACTGGTCTAAAACGAAGACCCACTGGTTTAAAACGAAGACCCTCTGGTGAAAAAACTTTTTTTCATGGAAAGGCTACACACTAAGCTAAAATGCTCTCATTTCTGTCACGCATAAGGCAGGGGTCGCACTAACGCCTTTGGTGTTTACATTGGACATGAAATCTATCATCGCGTGCTTGCGACAAGTGCGACCCTTTTGTCGCAAACAGGCATAACTATGTCCGAAAGACCTAAAGATCAAAAAAGCCGATGTCCTGCCTCGAGGCAGGCCATATCTCGTCTTATCGCCTTAAAATAACAATTTTTGTTTCTCCTCTGTCGCAACGTCGATCAAATCTGAAATACTAGCAAAAATTTGGATTTTCGCAATTCTGCAAAGACCACGTGTGCACAGCTAGCTATCGGTGCAATATTTTGGTCACAGGTTTTCTCGACACACGTTTTATGTGGTCCCTATTGCGAATTTCAACCCATACCAATTTACAAATTTGCACTATTCACCTGATTATTTTCAGTATGGGAATGGCTTGTTTTCACCCTTTGGCTCGCAGATATTTTCCCATTTTTTCGCATCCGTCGACGTCGGTTTAAAGCGGCAAGAGCCAACATTTGCCGTTGGCGAGTGTTGTACAATGCGTACAAATCAATAAGGTTTTGTACATTGAACAAATTAAACAGAGAATGAAGAAATGTCGCTAATAAAACTAGCACCAGCTTCATNGGGTAGTGTAGAACTGAGGATTACTTTTCTTTTTTCTACCCTCTTGGGTAGTGTATACCTGAGGGTTACTTTTAATCTTTTTTATACCCTCTTGGGTAGTGAATACCTGAGGGTTACTGTTAATCTTTTCTATACCCTCTTGGGTAGTGTATACCTGAGGGTTACTTTTAATCTTTTCTATACCCTCTTGGGTGGGTAGAGTATACCTGAGGGTTACTTTTAAGCTTTTCTATACCCTCTTGGGTAGTGTACACCGGTGAGTTACTTTTCCTTCCACAGTAGACGGAGAAATAGCCAAACGGCATGGTGCATTGATTTGGGATCATAAATGCGTTGAGGTACAGCTTATCAATGCAGAAGGAAAATAGTCGTAACCTGAACTTTACTCTATGCGTAACCTAAACGTATTTTTGCGTGACATAACCCCCTTTAAAAATAGTTATGTCACGCATGAAATATTTCTCGCTTTGCATATTTTTCTGCCGTTTCCTGGACGCTTTACTGCGTGGTTTGTGAGCGCAAATCCGTAGATGTAATTTTTTACGAAATGTAAGATTGCGTTTCGGTATATTTACATGTACTGCTTGGTACTTTATGGGTCTAAGTTCATTTGACATTGTTCTTGTTCTTGTCTGAAACCGTCCGTTGAAAGCGATGTGTATTCTCTGGCTTATCTAATCAATGCAGTTTATGAACCTTTAAAGTTCAAAATATGCGCTGTTCAAAGAAGGGTTTTTCGGAGTTAGCCTTAAATTATTGGGCCGTTCATCATGGAAGTGATTGTTCCTGTTATATTTTGCAGTGACATTTAGCCTGGACTATTTCAGGACATTGTGTTAACGAGTTACTGTTTGTTTCGTTTAAGCAGGAGCCCATTGCTCCTCTCGGAAGTTGCGGTTTTTTTCATTTCAGTCTAGGGGATTATCGAATGTCCTGGAGTGTTTAGCGAACACCTCACGCTACTGAGGGGTGTCAAACCTTGGCTTGAATTACTTATGCAAATGAGCTAGCTGCATATTGTGAGTGTGCAGCCACTGCATTTGTATAAAATGTTTTTCTGGCGCAAAGCTCGTCATGCGGCCATGAACACATCTCTACGCGAGATGGAAGTGTTTACAACTTTCAAATAACTCTACGAGCTTGCCACTCAAACGTCTTATACATAGTTTGGTAATCTATGTACCGTTGAACTTGAAATGACTTTGGCATGCACACGTATGTGAGCCTTACATAATACCATAATTAAAATAAAATCATATACAAGTATACACAAGGGGGTGTCTTGAAAACACAGACCTCGAAAACGCAGACCGCAGACCGCAGACCGCAGACCTCGAAAAGGCAGAGCTCAAAAAGTTTGTTTTCGACATTTGGTTATGTTAAAAATGGATTTTTTCGTAGGAGAATATTTAAAACAGCTGCAATTTCGAGATAGCAGCGTTTTCGAGACACCCCGAGGGGTGTCTCGAAAACGCAGACCTCGAAAAAAATTTGTTTTCGACATTCGAAAAGAACCGTGGTTGTGAAGCGATTTTTTTTCGGCGAGGGTGAAGGAGACGAAGATGTTACAAAATCTGTGGCATCTAATGAAGGTTGCTGTTTGTCCTAAACTGGTTGCTATAATGATGGAATAGGAGTGTTTTGATTTCTTGCCATTCGGTCTTAATGTTTAGGTTTCAGATCTCCTCGAATTTTTGCATTGCCTCGATATAGAATACAATACATAGTTTTGTCCTGCGCTCAACGTTGGACGTCTGGGCGTGAATAATCGAAGTAAGTATTATTGAAGTAACCGAGAGCGACTTTCACCAAAATTTGTTAGTTTTCATTTCGAGACACGCTACACAAGGGTCGACCATTTCTCTCAAATGGACTCATCTCAATGAAATTCCTGTCATTTACATACCACTATGATAATGGATCAAACTAATAATAAGTTTAAGACACTTCACGTTATCTGCTTGATTGAAGATACCACTCTCAACTCCTAACATCTCTAATGATGATAATAATCATCGTCTGGCACGCATGTAGAAGAAGCTCGGTTCGAGTAACGAATGTTAGCGTGAACGACGAGTTGTCTTGAATATTGAATGTTCGCTTGAATGTTAAACATTTCCGTATGAATGTTGAATGTCGATCTGGGTCCTACATTGAACCAATAATGAAGCTTTGAACAAGGAATGTCGATATTTATTCTTGTCTGGAAATACACACCATATCGAGGCGCTGTTTTCCTTACCGCATTTCTTTTACAGAACAACTTCCAAAAACTTTGTACACCCCCTGAATATTTTCCAAAATTAATTTTCTCCTTAAATACTTTGGAAATAGGAAAATGCCTTCAACGACAACAAAATGCCTCGGTTTTAAATGCCAACTCATTATTTTCGCAAATTTCGCTACAATAAAAAAGAATTCCCTATTTTTCTTTTAAATCAGTACCATCTAGTTTGAAAAAAATTAATTAATTTAAAAACCTCCCACGCTTGAGCCCGTGTTGTTGACCGCATACCTTTGACGCAACATTTCGTTATTTAGCTCTTTCCTCGGGTGTAGGTGTGAATCATTCCCCAGTGAGTTCTCGAGTTTCCCTCTGTTACGCACCAGTTTGCATTTCGCTTTCTGGGTTGACCGCTGTGTTATCATGGAGAAATACCTTATCACTGCTTCTGCATGTGCACTTACCGCTTCTGCACTGACTTTCTTAGTATGTCGATATCTACACAAAAGACGCGACGTTCAAGACAACATATACGAGACGGAGAAATACCTCGGAAGGTATCTCATTTGCCATTATGGTCAACCAGACGAAATTTTGCCATACAGCTTTGGTCTCGAGGAATCTCTCGATTTTCCAAAGCGTTGTGCTCTAGAGTGTATAAAGCACACAGAGGTAAGGACGAACATAAGTTTTACACCACGTTATTAGCTGTACATTCTTCTTGTTTTTGTTTTTTTGTTTACGGTTTGCTTCTTTTTTTAATCGCATTTGCCTATCTATTGGAAGGTAAAAGGCCAGTTCAAGTCTCAGCCTCGTTTCCACAATGAAATGTAGAGCGCGTGACAAAGAAGCCCTGTATTTTGAAATGTATAGAACAATTCAACTCTACGAACTACTTCACGTTAATAAAGAGGTCTTTCTTTATTAGAATCAAGTATCAGACCTTTTTTGCGGTGATGGTTGAACGAGACTTATTTTTTCGGCATAGCCATTGTAGTCTGCTCCAGACAACAATGGCTATACACCCCGCTAACTTATTGGGAAATTACTTTCAGTGTTTTACAATCAAGCAATCTAGCAAGCGAGCAAGCAACGAGTTCATCTCTAGCTTCTCCCACCCAAACCATAGGCTGCTTTGATTGTTCTATATTTCATTAGTGTTTGTAAGATATTCCTGATTATTATATAGATACTGATGAAATACCAGGATTTTCCCTTTTACTAAAAAATCATATCTTCATCGCGCGCAGTGAAGATACTATTTTTATCTTGCACGTGTAAGGATATTAGTGTCACCATGGTTACTAAAATGATTAGCCAAATACAAGAGAGCTTCCCGCTCAGGCACGCGGCCGGTTCTTTTGAAATTTCATCTGTATCTACATCCTCGGAGACCCAGGGGCTGTGGGTCGATTTCAAGTTAGGGCATGAAGAGCCCTTGGGGACATTGTCTTACAAGACTAGTTCCAAACGGTCGCAGTCGTTCTGCCATCTGATTGGTGCCAGAAAATCTTTGTTTTTCTGCCCAATCAGAGTGAAGTGTGCTTTGGAGTCCTCAGTTCGTGTGTTGTAACACGGACAAATACTACTAGCTCAGTTGCTCGCTATGTTTGTTTGGGCAGTGCGACAGAGATTTGCTTGAGGCGAAAAGTTTCAGTCTTAGCACACAATGTAAGAGAAATCGATCAGATTGTCCGCGAAAATCTTACCGGAAATTATACTGAATACTTTCGCAGGTATCACTAGAGAACGTGTTTTAAAGTTTGCGAGGTTTGTATACAACACGATGGTTGCAGTCATTGATATGTCGCTTTAAACGTTAAACGAGATTTAAGCTTAAATCTTTCTAGATTTTTTGCATAATTTGCTGTGACTGAAACTTTGCCAATCCCGTGAAGTTATTTCGTCGCACGGGCCACGCAGGTATGTCGAGCAACTGGTACTTGCGCAACTTTCTGTGCGTGCCAAAATCTAATCTCATCTTCGCTTGAAAAAAAAGAAAAGCTAAGCGTGGAAACTTTTGCTTATTAGATGTGGGTAGATGACCCTGTACTACTAAGCTGACATTTGCAATAAAGCAAACCCGCCCTTTCCATCCAATATTTCTTGGTCTTTGGTTTTGTTTTTCCCATTGAAA